ATCTTGTCCATTTTCTCTTGCAAATAGCAGGTTAGTGGTGCAAGAGCGTCCCTTCTGAACGCCATGCAGGGTAGAGGCGGTGATGTTCAATTCACCACAGTGGTTCTAGGGAGCGTCTTTACTAATCGTTTCATGATCATGCAGATTACAAGTGTCAAACAGAGAGGATGCTAATTCACGAGATCCTGAGAGTCCATGTCACTGTGGTTAGGTATCTCGATATACGTTTATCAATAGACGAGTAGACAACCAAGTTTCAGCCAAATGGAAGCTTTAACTGTTGGGTGCGGCCATGTAGTCAGCAACCATCATGAAGAACAATAGATGAATATCACTAAGACCAAGCGAGGAGTTTGGGTCTAGTTCTAGTAAAAGGTTCGTAATAGTCGTCATGTTGGGTCCGATCTATTCCAGCCTACGGGAATGTATAGACTTATATGTGTTCGCAGTCTGCGCTTCAAACCTGCATACTGAAGAGTAATGCCGTGCCAGAAGGTCCGCTTTCGCATGATATTCCTGCAGTAGTAAACTAGTTGTGTAAGCTAACAACGCTGGTATGCCACAGCCGGCTTTGGTGTTTTTGTTGATTTGCGAGTCGTTTCCTGTGGCTGGATCAAGATTGTTCAGCCCAACAATGTTCTGTTGCTTCTTCAGAGAACATAGGTTGCTAAGCTTCTTGTAGTTGAAAATAATTCAATACTAATGGACTGGTCTCGTATTTATCCTATAATGTCCTTCGGTGATTCAGTGGAAGCCGTAGTTCTTGATCAATCGAGGGAGGACCCCTCACAACCGACCGCCGTTTGGTATTTAGGTCAGTCTGTTTGATGAGCAAATTTATTTCTGAGCGCAGAGGTGCCCAGGTACGTTTTACGCACAGGTTTTGTCGGACGTTCAGACAAACTTTCTAGGCGTCTGTCTTGGTTGGGATGGATGAGTGCGTCAAAATTTTGATGGTAGAAGCCGTGGTCACAGATGACGCGACTGCTTGTCGACGTGAAAAGAAAGGTACAGTGATCACTATGACCACTTGGCAGCAGGGTGATCAGGCCAGCGATGTCAGAAGACACCGGTCTGATCATCAGCTCAATGGTATGCCCTGGCTGTCTGAGAGCAGCCTGGAAACCATGGAGACATGTTGTGCTAACTTGACATCGAGGACTACTCCGTGTAAGCTAGTATCAAATGGCGCATAAGAAAACCCACAGTAAAGCAGAGCACGGCAAACATCCGTTACATTGAACTGACCCAGAATTTAGCAACCACTGCCACTCCCCTGGGTTTGAAGTAAGTCCAGAACGCAGTTACCGTTACTGGATGGGGCTCTGCACACCACATCAACCATAAAGGGGTTTCATCCGTCGTGTATTCGACACTAGAACATTCTTCTAATGCTATTACCCATTGCAGCGAATATATCACTGCAGGTTCCATCGGCATTTATTAGTTACCTTGTTGCGAACCGCGTATGATGAAGTACCTTTCCAAGCTAATAAATCGAAACACTGGTTTATGTATTGGTTGAGCAGTGCGCGAGCATTTCCTTTAGTTGCTGAACTACCCGCACTTTAGGATTGGGGTGCAGGTTTGTAGGTTTGGTGGGAAGTATGAAGGAGCCGTTTTGCAGGAGACCTGCTGACGGGCGTTGAACATTTCCGAGATTTATGGAGTGTCAGTACCTAGCTTAACTTAGTGTAGCAGCAAAGCAAACTTTTGGGGTGCTACTAGGACTGAAACGTTAAAGCAGCTGGACCTGGTTTATTGCGCCCAAAGTTGTTACATTAGTTGGCTTCCATATTAACGCTCATGCTTTTTCGTTTACGAAAGGTAGGGGAGCATACCAGCTGAAGTTTTGTCATTAACAGAAGACATGCCCAGAGCAATCAAATACGTCATTCAGTCACAGTCATTCAGCACAGATTGCTGATACTTCTCAGACCAAGTAAATTTGAGTTTCCAAAGCTAGCTACGATGCTATTCACTTTAGGGCTTACGGACTAGCGCCAAACAACTAACATCCGAGTGAACAACGCCAAGGTTTAGGCCGGCAACAACTTTGACAATTAAATATCTCTCGGTGTTCACCTAAAACAAATCCTAAGTGTTGTCACAGTTCTGTCCAGTCAAAGGGTTCTCGAAAAGTGATGGTCAGCTGTCTAGCCATGGAGGACGGCAGCCAGGCTGTAGACGACGTTGATAAAGTAGAAGCGCTGCTACGTGTCTACCAAAACTTGCATCGAAAGGATAGTGGGTCAGCCTTGCCAGAACAGCCGCACGGTTCAAGTAGCTATACAAGGCGGGAAATTATTCTCAATGTGCCAGAGGTCCTTACATTGCTGGCCAGTTTGAACCCTTATAAATCAGCTGGTCCTGACAGTGTACATCCCGCCATAGTTAAGACGCTGGCTGATATCCTTCAATATCCTGTCCCGGAGTTATTCAACCAGTCTGCTCAAGAAGGCAGGCTGCCACGTGATTAGAAGGAAACAACCATTGTTGCCATCCACAAGGGGGTTCTAACTCGGTACCTCTTAACTATAGACCTGTTACTTGACCAACATCATGCTGAAGTGCTTGGAAAAGCTTAGAAGAAATAGAATCTGTGAGCACTTGACTAAGCACAATCTAATTAGAGAGGAACAGCACGGTTGGCTTAAAAAGAAGTCGTGTCTTACCAATTTATTGTGTTTTATAGATGAGATTACCCGATGTCTTCATAGTGTGATGTAGGTAAAGGTGTGCTATTTGGACTACAGTAAATCCCGTGACTCAATAAATCATCGATTTTTAATTGAGAAGCTGATATGGTTTGGATTGCATCCCTACCTCTTACTGTGGCCCTCCGAATTCTTACGTGGGAGGAGATTTAGCGTAAGGGTTGGGGAAGCGAGTTTTAGTATGGGTCAAGCCTACATCCGTGTCCCCCAAGGTTCGGTACTGGATCAATTGTTGTTTCTTATGTTTATAAATGACCTGGCTCCCCTGCTTGAAGATCCCTACTATATCTTCGCCGATGACTTAAAGCTAGTCAGTAAGGGAAACCGAGTGACATTGGCTAAGGACATAATCACTGTGGTGAATTGGTCTAGCCAATGAGATCTACCTCTGTATGTCAATAAATGTCCACTATAGACCAATAGTGGTAACGGAAATGCAGTTCAGTATCTTGCGGGAGCTTTATAATTGCAGTGTACTGATGAAGCCCGCGATCTGGGAGTCATCATAGTAAACAATTTTAAGCCTTCCGAACAGTGTTGCCATGTTGTCAATAAAGCGCGACAAGAGTTAGTTTGTTTTAGGAGGGCTCTGAGTAACAATAAAGGAGAAGTATTCTTGCCGTTATACAAAGCGGTGGTTAGACCACATCTGGAGTATTGTGTTCAAGCCTGGGCACCGTACCTCCGTAGTGATGCCATGTGTATAGTATGGTTCAGAAACCCGCGACCAGGAGGATCGAAGGTCAACGAGGGAAGTCGTACGAAGATCGTCTAAGCAGCTTGAGAGCATTTTCATCATAACGGCGTAGGTTGAGAGGGGATTTGATAGAGAGGTTTAAGATCCTTAAGGGACTTAGCGGTACTAAGCCCACCCATCTGATTGGGTTAGCTATATCAGATCACTTGCGCGGGCATCGCCTGAAGTTCAAACAACCTAGAGGTCGTTTGGACATCAGGCAAAAGTTTTTACCAACCGAGTAGTTAACATCTGGAATAAACTTTCTTCTGGTTAAGTGGAATGTCTGTAGAAGCCTTCAAAAGAGGCTTCGATGAGTGTCGGTCTGTCCTCTTTCCAGAAATATTGTAATTGTACTTGAATAGGTAGTGTATTTTGATGATGACACATAAAAGTGCAAAGCTTGCTCTCGTTCTTGTTTCATTCCTTTGAAGAAGCAAGAGGTTAATTCAACGTCGAAGTGCAGGGGCCCGCTTCACTTACCGGCACAAGCAACTGGACGCCATCGTTCATTCTACCTGACTAAACTGACCTGACATTGTCCTGATCTTAACCCTGCTAGCAAAAACGAAAATAAACGAAGTTTTTTCTTAGTTATACATGTGCGGGCGGAGTACGAAGGTAAACGAAGGTTTTACGAACGGAGAATTCGCTTCGTAAAAGCTTAGTGTCTGCCGCTGGGTGACACGAGGATTATGTAGGTGTCTATTCATCAATGAGCGGTATAGTTCATGGTACGCAGGTGATTGCGTACGGCGTACGCAACCAATCAGAAGGCAAACGGACCTCACTTAAAAAGGTAAACGAAGATTTTTCTCATTAACTACGAAGGGTAGCCTTCGTATGGACGAAGCATTACGAAGGTTTTTCTTAGTATATACGAAGGTTTTTCTTAGTAAATACAAGGGCTGTTCTTCGTAATTACGAAACAATACTAAAGTTTTTCTTAGTGAATACAAAGGCAGTGCTTTCTAATGACGAAGGAAAACTAAGACTTCTCTTAGTAGATACGAAGCTTTTTCTCAGTAAATAGGCAGGCTGTTCTTCATATTAAGGAAGCTTAACTAATACTTTTCGTAGTAGGTATGAAAGAACTTCTTAGTGAAGCTGACGGCTGTTTGCAATGACGAAGAACTACGGAGGCTGGTTTATAAACCAGTGTATGATTTGTGAAACCAAGGGCTGCAGGTATCGCCCAGCATTCCACGCTTTGAGTCGGTCACAGATTGCGGACAATTTGGTCTGCCGCCCCATGCCAATGAATGTGCAAATACAGTGAGTTAGACATACTCCATTAGTCATTACGAAAGAAAATATAGTCAAATATTTAAAACAAAGTAAGGCGTGAACCGGTTTGCGGTAGCCTACTTCACAATCAGCAAAATCAGTACTCAATGAAAAATATGGATTTTAACTTTACTGCACGTTAGTTAAATCTATGGGCCATACAAGAGAAAAGCAACTAATTAAACTCAAGGAACATACTTTATCATCATCAAGAATGCCTCCATACAAAATTCTGGCATCCGCTTTTTCAGTTCGCTTTCTAAAAATCTTTCGACGATGTCGACCTATTTCATAATAGGCGAATAATTTGTCATACTAACATATTTCATGTGTATGTCTGTGTAGCATAGTTTATTTTCACTGGAATCACTGAAGCAATAGCAATGTTCATTGATAAAGTTTTCCTGTAGTGTTTGAAATTCGTCACCTTAAGGATTACAACGTATTAATCATTACTAATCATTATATCTTCTAAGTGTCCTATTGCTTCATTGAATGATGAAGCCGGTTGCTCCAACGAACTAGATAGGAGTTATCCGAAATAAGCAACTTATAAACCCTGCGAGGACTTCATCATAATCGCCGTTAAAAGGTCCTTTCAGCTGCTCATCCGGAACATCTGTTATGACATTTATTAACTTGTTCATACCACCGGGCTCCATTAGCGCGTCGAATTGTCCTAGCAACAGATAGTAAAAACGAACAAGACCAGAATACATATAAGTAGGATAATACGTGAAACAAAAAATATTTAAAACGTGTTCAAACAAATTATGCGAGCAGGAAAAACATTGATGATGCATTTCTCAGGGTTCTGCGGTAGTTTGTAAAGTGGATAATTCAACTTCAAGTTCAAGTTCGGGTGGGGCGGGAACAATAGGAGGATGGTGTGAGCGTTCCAGCCTGAGTGGATCGTCGAGCCAGTACTTGAAGAAGTGCTCAGAGGCATTAATGGATCTAAAAGGGACCGCCCGTATCGCACCCTGGCAAACCAGTTAATGTACACGTTTCATGTCCTAGCTGTCCCTGCTGAAACGGTTGAACAACAGAATATGACTGCGTTTAGTGAAATCGGATGCAGTAACGCGAATTTTTACGCACCAGTTTTTTGTGCATACTGTCAGCATTCTTGACGGCTAGTCTAAACAGACACGTGCACAACCTCAGACACACACACAAAGCGTCTAATTCTCTGCTTCCCTATTGGTTCATCCTTCTCCTTGCGACACCTTAATGTACGCAGCCAGTTAGACATTGATCAGATTACAGCAGTTCATTTACAAGAGTGACCTTTTAACTTGCTCGTGCATTTTGACCTTTCGTACACAACACTGGCGTCGCAGCTTACGAACCTACGCCATGGATTACAGCCTCCTACGGTTTACTGGTCTGACCCGACTTTACGTCCTACCGAAAGTGCATGGGCCCAGTGGAAAACCTCGTATACAAACCATCTTGACCTACTACCTGCGGCTTCTAACTACACTGAAGGCCAGAAACTGAAGCTTCTCAGGCACCTACTCGGTGATGAAGGACAACGTCAATTTGATGCTTTGGAGCTCCAGTCGCAATATACCTTAACGAAAGCACTAGAGGTGCTGGACAAGTCATGGGGACAGCGTACAAACCTCTTCATGGCTCGCCTCAAATTCGGCCGACTTAAACAGGAACCATCGGAAACTCTAGAGGGTTTCGTTGATCGCCTCATTCGTGGTGTACGACACTGCGAGTATCCAACCATACCGAAAACTAGGATCGAGGGCGTAATGCTAGTGCAGCAGTTGATTAGTGGAATCACTAACAACCGAATTCGTGAATGTCTACTTTCCGAAGACGCTTCCAAATTGACTTGGGATAAGGATGTGGAATTAACTCGCCTCAAAACATGTACGGTCGAACAGTTGCGATGTTTCGCCATCCACGCAGACATACAGGAGGTTGCCAAGATCCATCGCTCGTCAACCGAATTCCGATCCTCACAGAAATGCTTCCGCTGCGGCAGCCTACAGCATAAAGCCAATTTTACCAAGTGTTCTGCCTTAGAAATGGATTGCAAAAAGTGCGGTAAGCGTGGACAGTTTGCCCGTTATTGTCGTTCAGTACGCATTTCTCAGTTGCATTCTACAGATTCTGTTTCTAGTCAGCAGTTACAGTCCTCTGAAAATGTACTTTCAAATGATAACACAGGTACTGTGGCTAACTATCGTTCCAATTGTCCAGAGCCTAAACTACCTATGCCTGACATTCGTACTGTTACAGTTATGGCACACGATAGAACAACACATGTTGACATGGAACTTGATTCAGCCTCCCCTATCACTATAGTACCGAGTAGTTTTTATGACTTTCACCTACCTGACATGCCTATACCTCCTTCAGACTATCGATTTGACAGTTATACAAAGGCCCCGGTAGAAATACGAGGATTTGTGGTGATTGTGTTGCAAGTTGGGGCCGTGAACTCATTGGTTGCAGTGTAGGTTACGGGCGGAAACAACCGTCTTTTACTCGGACGTAACGCTATGGCTGCACTGGGAGTCACGCCTTCCTTATCTCGAATGCGTATCATGGCAATCAACCTATTAGACCTACAGATACAGTACCCGAAATTATTTGAACAAACAATAGGGTGCGCACCCGCATATATCTGAAGCAAGATGCTAAACCGGTAGCTATTGCTCATCCACGTTCAATTGCTTTGGCCAGAAGAGAGGCTGTTTCTTCAGCATTATGACAAATGATTGCAGATGACCTCACTGAACCCATTAACTGTTCTGAATGGGTCCACCCTATGGTTACAGTCCTCAAGAAGGACGGCACAGTAAGAATATGCAATGACCTGCAGGCCCTAAATCGGCAAATCATGGTAGAAAAGTTTGTGCTTCCAACCGCGGATGAAATAATAGTCAACCTAGCCGGCGCCCGATATTTTTTAAAATTGGTCCTTAGAAAGCCTTTCTTTCACGTGCCACTAATTAAGGAGTCAAGACCGCTGACCGCATTTCTCACTGTGGACGGACTCTTTCAGTACAAAGTCTTGCCAATGGGCTTGAATTCAGCCCCAGCTGCTTGACAACAGTTTATGGCTCATTCATTGGCCAATTTACCTGGTCAAATAGTATACATGGACGACATCTGTGTATTCGGTAGGACTCCAGAAGAACATGATTCACGACTGCATGCGGTGTTACGTCGACTACACGATCATAACCTCCGATTAAACCTCGAGAAGTGCAAATTTAATGCTAGTGAGAGCGAGTTACTGGGCCACATTATAACAAACGACGGATTGAAGCCGAGTTTTGACAACGCACGGGCTACTCACAGTCTGTGTGT